AAGTCTGGCTGGGGGGTTGGGGGTATTTCGCTACTGCGCAACCCATAACATTTGCAAAAAAATAAATCCAAAAAACATTCTTTAGGCAACTTGAAATTTGTTTATTCTTAAGTTTTAGCATCTATTTAACCTAGAAATAAGTGTGCCAGACTTTTTTTTCGGGTTTAAAGTGTAACCAGACCATTCCAAATATGTTTAATTATTATACCTGGAAAACATACTTTAGGCATTCTAAAATTTTAACAGCGCGTTTATTAGATAATATTAAAAAATATGTGTTAATTGCCAGACGAATTCAATGGGATTTAATACTTGCCAGACGCGAATAAAGATTTTAAATGAGCGCGACAAAAAAGTCTTATGAGTATCTATAAGCGCGAGAAAGATAGTTTATTGAGACCCGTCGGCAGCCGATGCGGCTGACGTAACAGTATTTTGGGGTATGTACTTCAAATTTTCATAAAAACAATTTTTTTTCGGTTTCATTTGAATTATTTGCGGGCTTTTAATTCAGAGATTATTTTGTTGGAATTAAGTTACCATGTACAAATATGTATTTATAATATAAATATTGACGTGCATAGTGTAAATAGTTTAGAATAATTACTGTAAATAAATATTTTAGTAACTACTAATTTGGCTACTAACTACTAAATCACAATGGATAAAAAACATTTAAGTTGTGTAGTTCGTAAAAAAGTTACTATGCTGATGTATGCTTACTATACTGACAAAGTTATTGTTTTTGATGAAGGCAGACTACAAAAATGCAAAGAATTTTTAAAAGTGCACTAACAATATGGTTTAAAATTTAAAGAAGTGGTTTTACCAGAAAACGTAGTCCCGACAAAAGGGTACCATCTACAGTGCTAAAAAATAAGTATTCTGGAATTTTATTAAAGTACCTACCATTGTTAATCTTTCTAAATAGATTCAGAAGTAAGTAAAAGTGCTTTACTTTTATGCTTAGGCGTTAAAATGCCTTTTTTATATTGTCAATCAGGTCGTAAAAATTAATAATAATATAATATGTCACAAAAGTATAATAATAATTATACTTTTGTATAATTATACTTTTGTGACGTTTGAAAAAAATATATTTTATATTATGCTAATTTTTAAATAATTATTCGTCTTTCTATTCTTTCAGATACAAAATACTTAAATTAAAAAGTCTTCTTTTTGAAAGGATTTCAATCATACATTTTTATTAAAAAATGTTTTTTTTTATTTATTCAATATTAGTTAGTTTTAAGTTTTTACGACTCCAAAATGCTGTTACGTCAGCCGCATCGGCTGCCGATCGAGTCTCAATAAACTATCTTTCTCGCGCTTATAGATACTCATAATACTTTCTTATCGCGCTCATTTAAAATCTTTATTCGCGTCTGGCAAGTATTAAATCCCATTGAATTCGTCTGGCAATTAACACATATTTTTTAATATCATCTAATAAACACGCTGTAAAAATTTTAGAATGCCTAAAGTATGTTTTCCAGGTATAATAATTAAACATATTTGGAATGGTTACACTTTAAACCCGAAAAAAAGTCTGGCATACTTATTTCTAGGTTAAATAGATGCTAAAATTTAAGAATAAACAAATTTCAAGTTGCCTAAAGAATGTTTTGTGGATTTATTTTTTTGCAAATATTATGGGTTGCGCAGTAGCGAAATACGCCCAACCCTCCAGCCAGACTTAGGATTCTGGGTTCAACAGTTAATAAACTATACATTTTTAGTTATTCTAGCTTGCCTAAAATATGTTCTCTAAATATGTCGTCAGCTCTTAGGCTATTAGCGATTTGGCCATGTATGAAAATGGTTTTTATTTTTTTACGCGAAAACGGTTTGTCGTACGTAAAAAGGTCAAGAGATCAAATTTGTTCCAAATTTAATGTAGATTTAAAAATACATTTTATATAAAAAAAACCCAGTGGCGTACCATTTTTTCTTCAATAATATTTAGTTTAAATACCGTAGGCACGCCAATGACGAAAATAGAAAAAAAGTTAATAGCATCAAAAAATGTAATTTTATGGTAAAACAACGTGTACCAAATTCAGTGATTTTCGTCCAACAGGGCCCTGAAATATTAAAAAAAACTCTTTTTTGGGGCGAAATTCAGGGGGCTGTAAATCCGAAAAGGGGGACCACTGGCCAAAAATAAAAAATACGGGTCACCTATTTTATTTCCAAGAATCTATGACCAAATTTTGTTGCATTAATTTCCGGACACACTGTATAATATTTTAAAAATAACAAAATAGTTGTTACATCATACATATACATTATGCATAATATACAGTGCTTTCATTTTAACTATGAACATAGATATTCATCATTACAATTTGTAAATAATTTCCTTGTCAGTGTCATAATCAACTTTTTATCATGCATTGATTAAATATATTGACAGACAATACAGTTTTCTTATCAAAAAATTAATAGATATGAAATAAATTCAAGATATATTTTTCACTCAAAATTAGTATTTTTGGTCAATTTTTGACCAAGAACTATTTTTAGTTAAACAAAATAAATGATTGTAAAACAAATAACTAATGAGCTACCCTTGTTCCATTTGAAAAAATTGAGATATGATTAAAAAAATGATTTATTTTTTAACCAGCATCTTTTAACCAGCCAGGGACAAGACACGAAAAACAGTAGATAACCAAATCTATTTTTCCAAGGATCCCTGATTAAAAATTAGTGTTTTTAACACAGCCATGGCACTCTAGATTGAAATTTGAAATACATTTTTTTTGTAAGCGAAAATGTCAAAACTTGAGATATTTATGAAATATGTCATTCTATTCAGAGTGTCATTTTCTATCGAATAAAGTACAAATCTATTGAATAAAGTACCGGAAGTGACTAAAAACAATTGAATACGCCAATCAATCCTAATTTATATCATACCGGGTGTTGCATCGTTGAGCGGGACATAGGAATTCCCATGTAAATTTTAATGGGGTCAATTATTGGCTTCCCTAATTATTTTAGAGAATAATTCTATTTAGGTTTATTGAAGAGCACTAAAACCCACATTCAAAAGAATAACTTAGATATTTTTGATTACCCCGTTGACGAGTTATCGCCGATTTCTTTTTAAATATTTCTCCTTTCTTATGGCCCTGTATTTACTTATGAGCACCAGTCAAGATAAAAGATAACTGTCAAATGAAGTTGTCATTTCAGAAATTTATTTATTTAATGCTTTATTATTATTATTAAAAACTCATACCTACATCGAAAATATTAGCCATGAATTACACTACCGAAGAAAAAGTATTGATGATTAAATGGTATTATCAAGGAAATAGTTATCAAAAGGTGTCGGACATGTTTGCTTCTCTGTATCCGAATAGACCGATACCTGGAAAATCTACAATCGCAAGGAATATCCAGAGATTTGAGACCAAAGGTACCCTAATAAATAACTGCAGATGTGAAGCAAGGCAGGAACAAAGAGAAGATGCAAGAAATGATACCGACTTGGAAGTTTTATTGTGCGTGGAAGAGAACGATGGAAAGATCAGCACAAGGAAACTTGAGGATGAAATAGGAATAGATCACACTACAGCGTTTCGAATTTTGAAACGACATAAATACTATTCCTTCAAATATGAAAAGCACCAAGAGCTACGAAATGGGGACGAAATACGGCGGCAGGCGTTTTGTTTTGATATGATGGAAAAAGCAAACACGGATAGGGAATTTTTAAAAAACATATGTTTCACTGACGAATGCAGGTTTACCTTAAATAATGAACCCAATGTTCAAAATTATCGATATTGGAACAAAAAAAACCATCACAGGTTTGTCGAAACATAGACGCAATATCCACAGAAGTTAAATGTTTGGGCAGGGATATTCGGACACAATATTATCGGGGCATTCTTTCTTACGCGAAATTTAAATGCAGAATCTTATTTGGAACTACTCTAAAATCATATTTTACCTGCTTTACATGATGCCGCTAGGGAAAATCAGGAAGTTTGGTACCAAAGGGATGGCTGCCCGGCACATAGTACCCTGGCTGTTCGGGAATATTTAGGCAATAGTTTTAACGGAAACATTATTGGCCTAAATCATACAGTAAATTGGCCAGCAAGGTCTCCTGATATTTCGCCAAATGATTTCTTTCTCTGGGGCCATTTAAAAAACAGGATATACAATATACAAGGATAAAAAATACCCAAATCTAGACGAGTTAAAAAATGCTATTTCTGCCGAATGCAATAGAATTTACTTTACCAACTAGCGAATGAAGAGAAGCTAAGAAGAGAATTTTATGATCGCCTGGGTTATTGTCTAGCAGTCGATGGAGGAATATTTGAACATCTTCTTAAATCCTAAAGTTCTAACAATTTAATAGTACCTAAATTAATAAGTTATTGAATATTGTAATAATACTATAATTAACCTTGTAATTGTTTACTTTATTTTACTTTAATTCATATTAATTTGTATTTATAAATACATCTTTAAGATTTCCGATGTAGGAATGAGTTTTCAATAATAATAAAGCTCTAAATAGGTAAATTTCTGAAATGACAACTTCATTTGACAGTTATCTTTTACCTTGACTGGTGCTCATAAGTAAATACAGAGCCATAAGAAAGGAGAAATATTTAAAAAGAAATCGGCGATAACTCGTAAACGAGCTAATCAAAAATATTTAAAGTTATTCTTTTGAATGTGGGTTTTAGTGCTGTTCAATAAACCTAAATATAATTATTCTCTAAAATAATTAGGGAAGCCAATAATTGACCCCATTAAAATTTACATGGGATTTCCTATGTCCCGTCCGACGATGCAACACCCGGTATACTAATATACCAAATATCGCTTTGTTATCTAAAAAAATAAAAAAGTTACAGGGCTGAGCCACTTTTGAGATGCACCCGGTATATGTTTATAAGTAAAAAATTTAAACAATCGGCCTATTATACATTTCATACACTTTGATTACATAAACTACAAGTACTTACCCATTCTAAACAATAAAATATAGGACACTATTATGTAATAGAAGATAGCACGCTGTCAACTGCAACAACGACTCAGAGACAAGTAACAACTAACGGTCACTGAATCAAGATTGACGCTCTGAAAAATTTCCTTAGAGTAATATATTTGAATATTATATTGTAAAGTAAATGAAATTGTTAGCTTATAAGTATGAATGTTTTTTATATATTAAGGAATTCGGTTTGGTTAGTTTTTATATGTTCTATCTATTTTTATACCGGGTGCGTCTCGAAAGTGGCTCACCCCTATGACTTCTTTATTTGTTCAGATACAAAAATGATATTTGGTCCCAAGTAGCATTTTCACGACTTGCGACCACATGTTTACTAAACACAACGTTGGATTAGTTACAAAAAATAGTTAGCTCCCTACTTTGGGTATTAAAATAAATTTAAACGTTTTTATAACGTTGTGCCGACGTTGGACTAGTACTACAGCAAAGTAGAAGCTTCTGCGACGTCGAATAAAGTTGTCTTGTAACCTTTTTGCTTAAGTGATCTTTAGGTGATTCGGACAACGTAGTTACAACGTTGGACAATATAGAGTTTTTCGACGTCAGTTTCAGGACCTATTCCAACGTTATGCAAACGTCGTCTGTTTTACTAATTCGAACGTTGTTTAGATTTCCTTATTCTTACGTTGGTAGGACGTCGAGTCACTACCTTTTTGCAACTGTATTGAACCATAACCTTAAATCTTAAATTTTCACTTCATTGTTCTGTTCAGTCAGACAGTTCAGTGCTGTTTTTGTTTTATAAAAAAACTTAATTAAAATGGGACATAAGAAAGGTACATATAAAACTAAATTTAAGTATACATCGATATATATTACCGATAGTTTATCCACTCCCTCGTTTATTTAGATTATAGAGGGCGGCACAAGCTAGACTCTAGGATGACTAAATTAGGCAATCTTGCGACTAGTATACTACCTGTTAAGACCGAACTGCGACTTTATTAGTCCAGTATGCGACTACTCGAACTACTCCATCTTAATCTCCAAAACAACAAAGTGAAAGCCGCCATGTTGTTAAATAAGAAAATGTTTCTTTCCTAAAATAGCAATTCCTGCTTTTTGAATACATTAACTTGAAATATTTGACCCTAAAACACACGCGGAAACAATTTTTTCGACTGCGAATAAATTATTCTCATTTTACTAAAAAAAAAATTCCAGAAAATTTTTAAAACTTCTTTAATTTTAAGGCCCATTAGTATTTTTCAAAGTAGAAACAATACATTTATCAATAAAGTTGTTTGCGTTTAACTTTTTTGCCTTGGGTAACGAGTTACAGAGTCGGTTAAAGTGTTTCAATAATTATGATCTTCAAACATCCTCCACACTTAAATACTTTTCTTTTGTTTTCCTTCACTGCCATCTGACATATGTTTCTAACTAAATCATAAAAATAATATTTTTACTATAATTATCCCAATTTAGGATAAAACGCGACTTAGACGCCATATTAGTCTTGTATTTCTGTGAATAAGGATTTTAAACAACGTTGCAATTTGTACTAAATTAGGCTTCTAGCCAACGTCGGTATCCAACGTCGTTTCGACCCAAAAATTATTCTCCAAACTAGTGCAGACTAGGGTTGGCACGAGGTTGTGCCGACGTTGCGCCCCGACGTTTGGTCGCGTGACACAACGTTGTCCCGACGTCCAAATGCTGCTTGGGGTGTGTTAGTATATGACATAAATTAGGATTGACTGACGCATTAAATTGTTTTTAGTTACTTCCTCTTTCGCCGGAAATTACTACAACTCTTGAATTTTAAATTACACCTTGGGTATTTTTTTACTTTATTCCATAGAAAATGACACTCTGAATAGAATGACATATCATATGTCAACTTTTGACATTTTTGCTTTAAAAAAATCGTATTTTAAATTTCAATCTAGAGTGTGTTAAAAACACTAATTTTTAATCAAGGAGCTTTGGAAACATAGTTTTGATCGTCTAATATTTTTCGCGTCTTGTTCGAAAGATGCCCAAATCGTATTTTTAATCATATCTCAATTGTTTCAAATGGAACAACTGTGGCGCATTAGCATATTTGGAAAAAAATATTTTCTTATGAATAATTTAGTACCACACACTTGGTGTTTCGAGTCAAGTTATCGGTTATCGTTATGAACCTCATGCTATACAACTTCAAATAAGCCATATGCTGAAGATGCTACATACATAATATAATATGTTCTAGCTCTCTTACTTCCTAAAATAGAGGACAAATCTAAAATTATTGCATTTTTTGATCCCCTTTGTATCTCGGTTATCTTATAACTTATTGAAAAGATCGAAAAGGCGAAAACGGTGATCCGTAGGTAGGTTTTCACGTAGAATGCAGTGACGTAACTAGTTCTTCGTTGGAAACTGTCTTTTTTTGAATATGACTCGAACTTGTATATTATTAAAAAAACTTTATTTTCCTTGTGAAGGGCTTTCTAAAAATATAATATACTTTCTACTTATTTTCATAAACGGGATAAAAATACATTATTTAAATTTATAACATAGATGATCGGTTTAAATTAGGTAATCAAAACAATCAACTAATTTATTCAACGTAAAATGTTGGTTATTGGCTATTTCCTCGGCTACTCCACGCTAATTTTTATGTATAGTTATAATATAACTCTGATTGAGAGCCATTTTATTTAAAAGCAGCACAAGTTCAGTTTCCGTGTAGTTTATCAAAATATCACTTTGCAAATATGTAAAGCAAAATTATCTAGTAAAAGTAACTTTATAATTTTTATAATATACGGGGTGTCCCAGAAATAAATTTTCTCTTTATCGTTTTTCAAATAAGTCCAAAATAACGGAGTTATTTTACTTTGAAAATTTCCAAAAAAAATTATTTTTTGCAAAAATTTGGAGAACCACTAGATCTTTTCTGGATTTTCTTTCTTGTAAATTTAATCTAATACCTATGTTGCCATATTATCAAGAAATTATGTTTTTTAACTAAAAACTAAAAAAAATTCCAAAATATTTTTCAAAAAATTTCAAATTTTCAATTTTTTTTTTGCGAAAGAAACCTCATAGACGTGTTTCTGGAGTTGAACTATACTACTAGTTAAAATATTTGCACTTATTTCTGGGATACACTGTATAGTGTGTCCTGTTTTAAAAAAGGCATAAGTTTGAGTCATTTTTCGAAATAGACAGCTCCCAACGAAGAACTAGTTTCGTCATTGCATTCTACCTGAAAAAAGAGATACTGGCGGTGGGTAAGTACTCAATGGGTAGAGAAACAAAATCTGGATATACGGTATATACCTGTACAGTACATCTGCTGGATCTGTGTCTATGAAAGGAATGCGGACAAAAAAACATTTAAATAAACAGCAATATATTTTATACGTCGATTTGACGAGTGCGTCACCGCAAATCGCTCCGCCCACTCATTTTATTGGCTACTTGCAAATTTGTCGAATTTTTATTGATGGGACGCGTCGTCAAATTTTTTACGAAAAACATCAAGAGAAAATCGTTTCCCCTCTCGCGGATACCCCGTAGCTACAGAACGGACAGACGTACTGTACATTTAGATGAACAGCCTAATTTTATAAAAGGTATTTCCGACGACTCCATAGTAAATACCAGGAATAATACCAGAAATATACCAGTAATATCAGGAATATATCTACAATACTCCTGATATACATATATTGTTATACTCCTGGTATTATACCGTGTATTTACTATGCGGTTGTCGAAAACTTTCTTTATAAAATTAGGCTGTTCATCTAAATGTACAGGTATATACCCAGATTTTATTTATCTACAAGTTGGGTATTTACCCACCGCCCATCACTGACCCTTTTCACCTTTTCGATAAGTTATAAGATAATCGAGATACAAAGGTTGTCGAAAAATGCAAAAATTTCTACTAATTAAAAAATAAAAAGTATAAAAGAAAGAAATAAATTTCAACTAAGAATGCTAGGACAAATATGTGTGTAGCTTGTTTATAGTTTCATAATAAGTAGAGCAGTGAATATAAACGACATTTTTATATCTCGACTCATAAACCAGAAACCCCATAAAACACACAAAAATGGGACACCTTGTTCATCTAGCAATCGCCAGTCAATATAAAAATAGATATCACACACAATAGTCTTAAAAATGGAAGGAAAAGAGGATAGTGCCTTCATATTTATGAAGAAATACATGTCCATGTTTATGTAATCGTAGCGACAAAAATAAAAAAAATAGTGTGCACGATGCTTTTACAAAAATATCTGAAGAAATGAGGATTGACATCAACGTTTAATAAGTCTGTCATATTTCATAGTTTCGATATAAATGACATAATAAACTTTACTCTATTGTTGGTGCCTTGTATATTCATACTGATCTATATTCGGCTTTATTAGAACAAAAACAATTTATATTATTAAACTTCAATTTTTATATTTGACACGACAAGAATTACAGCTTTATAAAATAAAAATGATGCGCCTTTCAGATTTTTGAAAAAAATTTGAGGTTACTAGATTGAGGGAAATTAAAATAACTTTGGTTGCACATCATAATACGCATTGTGTCACTGATGACGTGCAACCAGAGGCGCAACAAGAGGGGGGGGGGCAGGGGGCTTAGCCACCCCATATGACCAGTGCGTGTCGTATAAAACTGGTTTTAACCTCACATGAATCTTATCTTATAGTGACCTAAGCCCCCCAAAAAATTTGAGCCCCCCATGAGTATATGTCTAGTTGCGCCCCTGCGTGCAACCAAAGTTGTTTTAATTTCCCGTATTCTGCTATATTAAAAATATTATGTGGTGTGTTGTTGCATAATAGACGAATTTCTAATCATTGAATGGATGAAGGAACGAAGTGATGGGTCGAAGTGAAGTAACGAAGCGAAGGCATGAAGTGGCGAAGTGTGAGTATGGGGCTTTAGACGACGGACGCGTCTCGTCAATAAAAATTCGACAATAATTATTATTTATAAAATATATTGCTGTTTATTTAAATGTTTTTTGTCCGCATTCCTTTCATGGACACAGATCCAGTAGAATCCACTAGACGTACTTTACCTATCTCTACAATTTTTGAGATAATAAATAAAACATAATATATTATGTAAAAATAACAAAAACGTGATCTTGGTAAAAAATTTGGTAAAACAAAGCATTGGTAAAATCATGAATAATTCATAATTGTTCAATTATATTATTATTGAACATTTTAATCTTAATTAAGATCTGTCTATCAACTCAATGGATATTACACAGGGAGAGCCAAAAAATAATTAATTTTCCTTTGTTTTAAAATTACTGAAATCTTTGTTATTTTTAATTCAACCCTATGTATACAGGGTAAGTTTCCTACGATGTTCTCTATGGCTATCTCGAAAACTACTGGAGATACAGAGTCGGTTAAATGGGGAAAGAATTGCAGTTTTGTGGGATCATAAATATGCGCCTTTCAGATTTTTTAAAAAGTTCATGGTTTACTAGATATTTCGATAAAAACAAATTTTGGCTATTTTAAAAATTGTCCCTAATTCCATTATAATCTATATTAGACAAAAAGTTTTCAAATAAAATTTCCCAATAAATTATAACGGAATCCCTATTGTAACGGAATTTTAAATTATGTCTTTATTTTCGAGAAATTTTAGTCCAAACATAAAAAATATTTTGTTGATGAATGACTATCAGAATCTTAAAAATAAAGAAGTTGTCTAAAAATCTGCTACAATACGGATATAGCATAATCCTTTATCTTTAATTTCCTTCTTTATTTGTGTAAAATTACATAACCAGGTTAACATAAAACGTTAAATGCCGAACGCTTATTTTGCTACTTTTTAATGGACTCTTAAGAATAGGTCTATTGTTAAAAATGTCTACTGTAGGTCTGTTAGGTTATTGTACACACAAAAACAAAATTATAGATTTTTGAAGTGATAATGCTTCTTGTCTAGTTCATTTTCAAAACCACTCCACTCTCCCTACTCAAATACTAACGCTTCCCATTTGTAAAACGCCAGCTGTAGTTGAAATGCAGGTTTTAATTTTTATTTTGGCGGATTACTGATTGGGGCGCGGGAATTATATCCCTAAACACGCGCTCGGGCAACGTTGTTGCCTCGTTGGAGGGGATAACCGGGACTTCCGCCGTAAAACCCCGGGAATTTTTCAAAATTGCCGAGTACGATGCAAATCAAAATTATCTGGTAAAATTAAGTTAAATAAACGGCTCTTATTTTATAAGAGCCGTTTAGCAGTTTAGCAGTACCTAAATAAATAAATATAGAGTTTATTATAATTTTCGAAAGTTCATAATAAGGCAAATAAAATAAAAAATAATATATAGAGTGGCCTGTTTAAAAAAAAGAACATAAGTTTGAGTCATTTATCGAAATAGACAGCTCCCAACGAAGAATCACTTTCGTCACTGCCATTCTACCTGAAAAAAGAGACACGGGCGGTGGGTAAGTACTCAATAGGTAGAATAAAACAAAATCAGGGTATCCGGTATATACCTGTACATTTAGATGAACAGTCGAATTTTATAAAAGGTATTTCCAGCGACCGCATAGTAAATACCCGGCATAATACCAGTAATATCAGAAATACGAGTACAACTAAACAAGTATAGCTAGAGACGTGAGAAATATAAAATAAGAGACGCCCCTCGATGCGCAGTGAACAGCACACAAATTTGCTTTAATTATTATTTGCTGACTGATTATGTTTGAAGGGTCCAGGGAAAAAACATGATAAGCACCAATAGTACACTTTTCTTATTTGAAGCACTATGCTGTGTTGCCATTAAGAGTACGCAAAGCCCTAATTGGTTGCAACATCAACACTGATACTGATTGTTACGATTGTTGGGTATATTGTTCCATGATTATTCCATTTGAATAATAATGTTTTTTATTGTTTATTTTTACGATGGTATATTTTGAATCACGCAAATAGTGTGAATTAAAATAAATTTAATACCTACATTCTACTAATTCATAAAAAAATACAGTTTCGTTTGGAATCTTTACTTTTACAACAAAAAATTACAAATTTGTTTGAAGGTAGTAGTTATTTTTTCGGAAAATCTTATAGTAAGCTGCTATGTCAAACTTATATTGAATTTATATCTGATATATACGGGGTGACCAAATTATGTAACACTGATATTTAAGAAAAATAATGTTTACACTTAGATCTAGTGGATAAGTAAATTCGCTTCATTTTTGTTGATGACACGTCAGCGACATTCGACTATCTGATTATCTTTGTTTTTGACATTGACTGACCAGTCGTTCTGTCTTTCTTTTGTATACCTATATGTCGTTTTTACATACCCCAGAAATTATATAAAATAGGACAAAAAAATGTTGACATTCTCAGAAAATCGTATTTTAAATTTCAATCCAGAGTGCCATGTCTGTGTTCAAAAAACTTATTTTTAAGAAAGGAGCAATAAGGGATTTGATCATCTAATGTTTTTCGTGTCTTTTTCTGGCCAGTTATAAGATGGCGAAATCATATTTTTAATGATATCTCAATATTTTCAAATGAAACGGGGGTGGCACATTAGCATATTTCGAAAAGCATTTTTTACGAATAATTTGGTACCACACACTAAGTATTTTGAGTCAAATTGTCGTTATGAATCCCACGTTGCAATTTCAAATAAACCATATACGAAAATGTCAAAAGTTGACATCTGATATGTCATTCTATTCAGAGTGCCATTTTCTATCGAATAAAGTAACAAATAGCGAAGGTGCCATTTAAAAATCAAAAGTTGTAGTCATTCCCGATGAATCAGAAACTGAATAGAACATGATATTTTTAGCCGACCACACCAACAGGTATGGTAGGCTATTAAGATCGGCAAAAAAAGTTTTTTTAATTTCACTCAAAATGAGTTATCTGGGTCATAAATGACCTAAATACAAAGTATTTTCATGGTGTCTGTCTGTCTGTAACACGATAACTCAAAAACCGCTAAACCGATTTTAACCAAATTTGGCTCAAAAATACTGTGGCACCCGAAAATCTGGCCATTAGTTTTTGGTGGGGATGGAGAGTTGGTAAGGGGGTATGGGAAGGGGTTAAAAATTTTAAAAAATCGTAACTCCAAAATTACAGTAGCTAGCGAAACACGGTATTTTTCTCCACAAATTTGTTGAAAATAATATCGAATATGGGGTTTTCACCGATTAAAATCGTTATTAAGTCATACATATGAGTTGTAAATCAATGTTTTTAAATGAACTGTTGCTAAAATCTCTCAGAATTAGTGATAAACGACAAAAAGGAAACCCAAAAGGAAGTAGAAAAAATAATCGCGGTTAAACTGGTCTTGGAATTTAATCACTTATCTAAACAAAATTCATTCGAAAAATTAGATCAGCTGATTGGTCCATTTCACGATGAGGGAAATAATCCATTAATTATTATTTATTGATAAAAGAAAAAATATTTCATGACCTTTCGACCATTAACTTGGTCTTTTTCATAATGAGTAATAATATTCTATTTGTTTCATCTATCAGAATTAATAATATTTACATGTAAAAAACAGTTAAAAATACAATAATACCATAATGACTTACCCTGAACGTAGATTTGTTAATTTTTGTTAAAACTTATTCTAATTTTTAAAAGTTAATAAAACGTGCACACACAGACAACATAATATATACAGGTACATCATAGAATTTTAACTATTTTTAAGTAGCCCGATGGACGGCTATTCCAGCACTGCTTGATATAGTTTACTAATGTTATTCGTTTCTTGTTTATCATTTACTGCGTTGGTGTTTTTTATGTCTATGGATTCTAACAGTTCCCTTTTTTGTATTGAACTCAGACTTAATAATTTTTACCCTTTCAAAATTAAAAGTATGTCCAGTTGACAATTCATGTTTAGTCAATGCTGTTGCATTTTTTTTATCATATTCATGTCCTTCCATACATTTTTCTAGATACTAGATAGTCTGCCCAATATATACACCATTGCAATTTTTACAGAGAATTTCATATACGACGTTGCTTTTTTATTGGCTGGGGTTTTAGTTTTTAGTTTTGAAAAATGTTGTGATGTTAAATTGTAACTTTTATCACATTATGACAATGTTGTATGTTTTGTATAGTTTTTGCAGCAGTTGTGATAGACCACTAATAAAGGGTAAGGCAATGTAGCTTTTGATTTTATTTTCGGTAATATTTCTAGGGTTAATATTTTGAGACTTACTACAACCTTTTTTTTTGAAAATTCTCTTTACCAATCTCAACGGGTAATTAATTATTTGTTTGAAGTGCTCTTTTGGATTTTTCTATTGCATTCTCCCTGTATTATTTTTTTATTAGAAAGATTATTTTTTTAATGAGAAAACTTTACTTTTATTTATTTTTAATACTATATATTTTTTTCAGGTTGGTACGAAGATAACTGGTTTGAAGTCAATTTGGAAAAGGAAAAAGTCAACTGCAGTCTAGCGGAAATGAGGATAGCAGCAGAAGGTAATTAACAACTGTCATACATAATTGACTAAACAAATACTAAAACACACTATTCAAAATAATGGAACGCGACAAAAAGCATATAAAAATGTGTGGCTGATCGGGCTTATCCCGTCAATCCCGCCAAACACCATCTTTCGATGTCCATCTCGAATGACTTTCTATTGGAGAGTATTAATCACGTGGCAAAAGCCTACCAGAAATGTATCTAAACTGTTAGAAATTCTTATAGAAATAAAATACTCTCATACTTAAAATAAATTTATTATAAGGACGTCTTATTAGAATAAATAGACAAGCAACACTTATCAAAAATAATAAGGCAATGCCAATTTATTTTGAACGTGGTTCTTTTAGGAAATATAGGGTAATAATTACTTTAAAAGGACTAAATATTAGATATCCGATAAAATAGTATTCACTTTATTTCGAATGCTTTAATTTTTATTATGTATATAAAACAATATTATATTATCAGCAATCGTTTATGAAACAAATAATTAGGTAAATCGAATTCCATAGAAAGAGTTAATTATTTTAACGTGATTTATTGTGCATTTTACAATGCATTTTTTTCTGAGTGTTCCAATCCACATTCTTGGTATGTCATCCACTGGGAGTTGGAGAAGTGGAATTTTCCTTTTGAGGGTCTTTCATGTCCCCGAGCTGACAATTGTCTCAGTACTGTTTCCGTCAATGACCATTCTAATCATTGTCGCATTATCTACAGAGTTAACAACCTAATACCACAGCAAGGTGCAGTGGTATTAGGTTGAGAATAATGTTCTCATGGCACCTTTGACGCAGATAGAGGCCAGTCTCTGTACTTTGCATAGGTTTTGTCTTGCTATACGTTGCTTTAGTTTTGTGTACCAAGCAACTGCTCCATAAGTAATTATAGGTCTTACTATCATTGTATATATCCAGCGCAAAATGATGTCTCCATCTATTTCTCGCCAGTCTTCTGCATATCTTGAGAGCATATCTTGATGGTAATGTTCTTAATATGCCTGTTCCATACAAGTTCATAGAATCAATGTGTATGGTTAATCTATTTTTTATACATATCTGGTGCTATTAAATATTATAGAAATATTCCAGTTTTTGTAATTTTTTCGCCTCGTTCTTTTCACGCTAATATTGCATCTAAAGCCTAGGTATTAAATTAGTGACATTCGTTAACGAGATCTTAGCTAAAATCCCGTAACTACGTTTATTTTTCCGAAAAAAAAGAATCGCTAGGTAATAAATTACGTCTAATCTTTTATCGTCGAGGGCAAATCAGCCGTGGTTGATGGATGACGCCATCCAAATTTTTTACCGACTCTTATTTTTTTCCCTGGAACAGTTTTTCAGTATTTTTTCGGTATTCGAAACGTACAGTTGGTCAAGAATATTAATGGAACGGTTTGTGATGTTTGAACCTAATTAAAAGAGAGAAAAACTTTTTATTATTTATGGTTTTATAAAATTTGTATATCTAGTATTTTAGGTAAATAGAAAGCCTAACAGGAATAATATTTGGGCTATCCGACGCGCTGTCTGTAGTGTATTTAGCTATAATCTGTTTAATTTTAGTTTCTGCAATATGTCAGGAATTTGTCATTTTTAGAGGACCCTGATTCCTCTGTTGGGAGTAGCGACAACATAGGGTCTACTGGCACCACCGCTTGTTAGAAACACTGCAATATTTATGTAATAAAGACATTCTTGACATTCTCAGAAAATCGTATTTTAAATTTCAATCCAGAGTGCCATATCTGTGTTAAAAAAAACTTATTTTTAATAAAAGAGCAATAAGGGATTTGATCATCTAATGTTTTTCGTGTCTTTTTCTGGTCAGTTATAAGATGACGAAATCATATTTTTAATCATATCTCAATATTTTCAAATGAAACGGGGGTGCCACATTAGCATATTTGGTAAAGCATTTTTTACGAATAATTTGGTACCACACACTAAGTATTTTGAGTCAAATTGTCGTTATGAATCCCACGTTGCAATTTCAAATAAACCATATACGAAAATGTCAAAAGTTGACATCTGATATGTCATTCTATTCAGAGTGCCATTTTCTATAGAATAAAGTAACAAAATACCGAAGGTGCCATTTAAAAATCAAAAGTTGTAGTCATTCCCGGTGAATCAGAAACTGAATAGAACATGATATTTTAGCCGACCACACCAACAGGTATGGTAGGCTATTAAGATCGGCAAAAAAAAAGTTTTTTTAATTTCACTCAAAATGAGTTATCTGGGTCATAAATGACCTAAATACAAAGTATTTTCATTGTGTCTGTCTGTCTGTAACACGATAACTCAAAAACCGCTAAACCGATTTTAACCAAATTTGGCACAAAAATACTGTGGCACCCGAAAATCTGGCCATTATTTTTGGTGGGGATGGGGAGTTGGTAAGGGGGTATGGGAGGGGGTTAAAAATTTTAAAAAATCGTAACTCCAAAATTACAATAGCTAGTGAAACGCGGTTTTCAATTTAACATTAGGAATAATATTTGCAACAAAATTAGTAATAACATCAAAATCAGTCAAAGTCGCAGTTTTTGAGATAAAAAAACGGCGCCAATTAATATAAAAAGATTTAAAAATCATCCCTTGTATGTAATTATACTATATCGAGAAACTACGGTTACGCTAGTTTAATTTGACACTTTATGTCAGTTTAATAATATATGTTCGTACTTTTATGCTTAGGCGTCAAAGTGCTTTACTTTTATGACTAGGCGTTAAAATGACTTTTTTATATTGACAATCCCTCATGTCGCTAAAATTACTACTTTTGTGACGTTTGAAAAAAAAAACATTTATGCACTTTTTTAAAAAAATTAATATTAAAAAAGTTTTTCTTCTTGTAAAGACAAATCGTGGACCAGTAGATGACAAAAAAAATAATAAGTAATTATAATTATTATAAAAAATGTCTATACCTATGTGGCGGATTCATCTATCCAAAAAAATCCTTTTTCGGGTTTTTCGCCACTGCACTGCAAGAAAAATCTACAAAATAAAATAGTTATTTTTTGTAAACACTTTTGCGTTAAACCTAAACGGACGCTGCTTGTCAGAAGTTGTGTTTACAGTAATAAAAATTTGCCTAACAAAGAAAAAAATGCTTAACGTTTCGGAAAGTTTTCTCTTTCCGTCGTCGGAAGCAAAAAAATATAAAGAATCAAGAAAAAAACTATTTAAAATATTTAAATTGAACTATTCGAGAACACTTTACTTTTTAAAACAGATACGTCTACAAGAAACCGTTGACGTTCTGTTAAAATGACATTATATTAAGTTAAACTTTAAAATTAACAATTACTACCTGATAATTACTTAATAAGGTAAAACCAAAAAGCCCAAAACTTTCTGTATGATTATTTTTAAATTTCACGTATGTTATGTTTATTTATGTAATGTTCTTTAAAATCAAAGAAGCGATTGCCATACATTACTAACATCTACAGATGCATGAGCAATACATTTATTTTTATTAGATTGAATTAAAAAGCCTCTTTTATTTTTTCTTTAGAGGCTATCGCTTCTTTCATTATAATTTTGGCGTTATTAAAATTTATTCTGTGCCCTGTGTCCCATGAATGCTGACAAATCTTAGATTTGTAAAAATCTCCCTTTCTTAAATAATCTTTATGTTCTTTAATTCTAACATTTAAGGGTCTAGATGTTTCACCAATGTAAAATTTATCGCATTCACAGGGTATTTGGCATATTACATTTTTTGTTCGTTGTTCTGTATTCATTGGTTTAGTAGGTGATAAAATTGATCTAAGTGTATTTTGTGTTTTGAAAGATGTTTGTATGTTATATTGTTTTCCTATCCTTCTTATTTTTTCCGAAACGCCTCGTATGTATGGAATTGTAAGTTGTATATGTTGTGTATTGTTATCTTTGTGTCTATGATTTGGGGTTTGTATTTCGTTTAATGTTTTGTCAATAAAATATGGTGGATAGTCATTTTTTATTAATGTATTTTTTATGTGGTTTATATCTTTGTTTAGTGAAATGTCGTCTGTACATATTATTTTTGCCCTATCATATAACCTTTTTTTACACTTATACTGTGATTAGATGTGAAATTTAAGTATCTATCTGTGTTTGTGGGTTTTCTGTAAACATCTAAAATTAGTTTATTTTGAAATTTTGACACTAAAACATCAAGAAATGGCAAACGATTACCTCTCTCTACTTCTAAAGTAAATTTTATGGTAGGTTCGCGAGAATTTATATATTCCAAAAAAATGTCTATTTCAGAAACGTTATGTTGCCATATTGCAAAAATATCATCAACATAACGCAGCCATATTACAGGCTCTTTTGTAAAACTACTTATTGTATTATTTTCAAAATCTTCCATAAAAATATTACTTAACAAAGGAGAGAGAGGTGATCCCATTGCTATACCGAAATCTTGTTGAAAAAAATCATTATTTAATTGGAAATAAGTAGTTTTAACACAAAGTGTCAACAATTCCAAAATACTATCTATGTTTAATTTTGTTCTATCTATTAAATGTGTATCTTGTTCTAATCTATCCCTAACTAATTTTAAGTGATTTATCTACCGGCACATTAGTGAAAAGACTAACAACGTCAAAACTAACCATTAAACTGTTAGGTGTTATATTAATTTTTGAAATTTTTTCTATAAAGTGTGGTGTGCTCGGTGGTGTGTTTTTAATGTATGAATCGGTGTTATTTGCAATCGGATTTAATATGTCTAGTAAAAATTTTGCTAACGGATGGCATGGAGAATTTATACTACTGACTATAGGTCTAAAAAGTATACCCTGTTTGTGTATTTTCGGTAAACCGTATAAATGAGGTGGTTTACTGTAATGGGATGTTAATAATGTTCGTTGTAAGTCTGTTAATATATGTTTGTATTTGTATAAAGTTCTGTATATTTTTCTTTCAATAGTTGGTGTTGGGTCTTTTGAAAGTTTTGTGTAACTACCGTTATTTATAAGATC